AAAAGCAATACTTAAAAAAATCAAATTGTTTTTCCAAACCAATTAAGTATATCTTAGAGTAGACTGGGTATGGTGATACATGCCTGTAGCATCAAGATGAGCTTAGGCCAGACTGGATTACAGAGTAATTGCCGGGTCTGCTTGGGCTAGAATGAGACTCTAGCTCAAAGCAAAAGAATTTCAAAAATGCATATAGTAGAGTACCACTAAAAAAGATGATATAAGAATATAAAAGTATCCAGCATCTTGGTAAAATAAATAATGTCTGGCATCCACTCAAAAATTGGTAGGTAATCAGAAGATAGGAAAGCACAATCAACCAATAATGAGAGTAATCAAAAGAAGTCCGAGCTGATACAGATGTTCCATGAGCAGAGAATGGTATTAATAGAATCCTTATAACTGCATTTCATATTCAAATAGCTAAATAGAAGAGTTGGAGAGAGTTAAGAGTGCTATTGCACTTGCAGAGGACCCAGGTTCAGTTCCCAGCACATGGTGGCTCATTCTAGGGAATCCAGCACCATCTTCTGATCTCTAGAGACACTATGCACATGATACACAACATTTATACACATAAAATAAATATTAAGTAGAAAGTTTTGATAGGAGAGTGGTTGGGGAGAGGAGGAAGAGGAAGAAAATCTCAAATTGAATTTCTGGGTGTGATTAACAGCATATTACTCATTTCACAAGAAAACCAAACTGAACCTGGCAGCTCAGACCTGTAATCCCATTTACCCAGGAAGCTGAAGCAGGAAGGTCAAAAGTTCTTAAGACCGACTGAGTAATTTAATAACATCCTGTCTCCAAAAAGTCACAGTCAGGTGTGGTATAGTGGTTTGTGTCTGTAATCCCAGACCTTGGAAGATAGAGGCAGAAGGAGCCGAGTCATCCTCCAACATACAATGAGTTTAAGACCAACCAAGATTACATAAGATGCCCATCTAAAAAATGGAGGGAAACAATGGTCTGGGGATATAGCTCAATAGTAGAGGCTTGCCTAGCATGCATGGAGCCCTAGGTTCAATCACCAGTACAGGTAAAGAACGAATATGAATTTGAGGCTTGTGGTGCTTTGAATGAGAATGACACCAAAGGCTCATATATTCCTACACTTGGTCCGCAGCTGGTGGAACTTGCTTGGGAAGGAAAGTTGATTCCCAGTGTTCGCACACTGCTTCGTGATTGGATCAAGATGTGAGCTCTCAGTTTTTCCTTTGCTTCCTATCATGGACTCTGAAACTGTAAACCAAGTAAAATACTTTATTTTATAAGTTGCCTTGGACACGGTGTTTTATCACGGAAATATCAAAATAATAGAGAAAAGACAAACTAAAAGAAACTACCCAAAAATTAAAGAGGGTAAAAAGATGGAAAAAGTGAACTGTGGGGTACTTCAAGTGACCCAAAGGAGTAACTGAAACACCCAAAGGAAGAACAAAAGAATTATTTGAAAATATAATTGAAAGACCCCTACCCAGGACCCCCTAGGAAAAGAAAAGCAAGGCCAGGCCAGTGCCTAATGAAAGAAACCCAGACCAGGTGTTTCACCCTCAAAACAGGATGTCTGTGATCACTATAGCAGTCATGGGACCCGGATAATAATTGCTGAAGCGTGCTGGGAACTTTCATATGACAATACTAGAAAACCTAGTCCTTGGCAACTACCCTGGCCCCCAATTGTGTCTGATCACTATAGCAATCATGGGACCCGGATAATAATTACTGAAGCGTGCTGGGAACTTTCATATGACAATACCAGGACACCTAGTCCTTGGCAACTACCCTTGCCCCCAGTTGTGTCTATGATCACCATAGTAGTCATGGGACCAGGATAATAATTGCTGAAGTATGCCTGGGTCTTTCATAAAGTAATACCAGGAAACTTAGTCCATGGGAACTACCCCTGCCCCCAAGATGAGCCAATGAAATGCCTGTTACTTATGTAACCATTGAAACTCTATAAATATTGTACTCCCTGAAAGCCCGGTATGCTCTGCACCCGAGTTGCAGTAGCATCCGCAGGCGCCTGTGTACTCAATAAATCACCTCTTGCATTTGCAGCCAGTGGTCTGGCCCTGGTTCTTGGGCAGAGGGTTCGGTTCAGTGCCCGGCGCTTTGATGCTGAGGTTTTTCATAATGTTCAGAATTTTTCCAAACTTTATGAAAATTAAACCCATAGATCCAACACACATGTTGTGGAGTATCATTTAAAGATGTGTTACATTGTTTACGCTGTGGAATATTTAATGATACCGTGTTACTTTGACTGCTTAAAACACCTGATTGGCCTAATAAAGAGCTGAACAGTCAGTAGCTAGGCAGGACAGGGATAACCAGGGTTGGGCAGACAGAGAGAATAAACAGGAGAAAAAGAGAAGAGGGAGGAGTGAGGAGAGGAGGATGTAGGGGCCAGTCACACAGCCACACAGCCAGCCACAGATTAAGAAGTAAAGAAAGGTATATAGGATAGAGAAAGATAAAAACTCAGAAGCAAAAGGTAGATGGGCTAATTTAAGTTAAGAAAGCTGGCTAGAAACAACTCAAGCTAAGGCTGGGCATTTATAAGTAGTAATTAGTCTCCATGTGATTATTTGGAAGCTTTCGGGGAAATGCAAATTAAAACTTCTTTGGGATTTCATCTTGGCTGATCAGAATGGCCAAAATCAATTTAAAAAAATGATGGTACATGCTGGAAAGGCTTTTGGCAAAGAGGAGCACTTACTCATTGATAGTGGAACTGCAAACTTGTACAGCCACTATGGAAATCAGTGTGCTGGTTCCTCGGGAAGCTGAGAGTTGATCTACCATATGATCCAGCTACACCACTCTTGGGCATATGTCCAAAAGACCCTACATCTTTCTGCAGAGCTACATGTTCATCCATGTTCATTGCTCCTCTACTTATAATTGCCAGAAATTGGGAATAGCCTACATGACCATTAATTGGTGAATAGTGTGTAACTCAGACCTGAAAAGCAAATATTGCATGTTTTACATGTGGATGTTGACTTTTAAGCTTTCAATATGTGTGCTACACTCGAATAACCACAGAGATTAGGCATCTAGTAATAGATGGGGTGTAGGGAGGAGCATCTTCCAAGAGTTATACAGAAATAAAGAGGAAACTAGGAGGATAAAGTGGAAGGGGGAATGAGAGGACAGGGGAGGAGGGACAGCTAACACTTTTGCCCTCAAATGTGGTAAAATCAAGATGATGCCTAACTAGAAGCTTCACCCCTACAGATTAACATCCATGGTACTTGAAGGTACTCTACAAAGAAGAAAAGTAGTCATCAATATCACCCAGCTACATAGCTGAGTGGTGGTAGCATACACCTGTAATCCCAGCACGCCAGGAGGCAGATGCAGGTAGATCTTGAGTTTGAGGACAGCCTGGTCTACAGAGCAGGTTCCAAGATGGCCAAGGCTACACAGAGAAACCATGTCTCAAAAAAAAGGAAGAAAGAAAGAAAAAAGGAAGGAAGAGAGAGAAAGAAAAGCACCCAGCTACAAGCTACAAACCCTCTTTGACTGGTGGCACAAATGTTATAGGAATAATCAACTTTTGATTGGACCACTCCACTCAATAGAATCCATACCCGACACTGCCAGAATCTGAGAGTATGCGCTCCAGGAGAAAACCTACTGCTGTTTTTTCTGCTAAAAGAACATAGAAATAAAATGACATCTAATGACATGTTATTCTAGACAGGCCATGAGCTCCAGGAGAAAATCTACTACTAGTATTCTGCTAAAGGAACATGGCAATAAAGACTTCTAATGACATGTTATTATGCCCATAGATCAGCCCATTGCTCAACCCCCATCAGAGAACTTGCCTTTTTTCAGTGGGTGGTGATTAACATACAGACCCACTGCTGAACAATATGCAGAAATTGAGAGGCCTTGGAGCACATGGTCCTACATGGGATGTCTTTGCCAAATCCCTCCTCTCAAGACTCAGGGATCTATAAGAAGTGGGAGTCAGCCCGGCGTTGGTGACGCACGCCTTTAATCCCAGCACTCGGGAGGCAGAGGCAGGTGGATCTCTGTGAGTTCGAGGCCAGCCTGGTCTACAGAGCGAGTTCCAGGACAGCCTCTAAAACAATACAGAGAAACCCTGTCTCGAAAAACCAAAAAAAAAAAAAAAAAAAAAAAAAAAGAAGTGGGAGTCTGTAGGCTCCAGATGTGGTGGATGATCCTAAGGAAACAGTGTCTTCCAGACACAACGGAGACTCTAACAACATGCATAGGCCCTGCACAGCTTCGGCACTGAGAAAGGAGAGAGATAAGTAGTTCCATCTCTGACAAGAAGTTCTTTGTAGCGATGCCTTCTGGGAGGGGGAAAATCAGTTTCCTCCAGTAGCATTTCACTGAATCTATCAACCACAATCCAAGACAGGCTACATGCTCAGGAGTAGTTGATGGACTCCATTTTTTATGTATGGTGTGTGTGGGGGGGTACTTTTTGTTTCATTTTGGTATTTTTTTATCTTACTGTTTTTTGTGTTTCCATTTTTTGTTTTTAGAAAGAAAGAACTTGAGGTTGAGTATTAGGGAGTCAGAGAGTATCAAGAGGGGAAGGAGATGATCAAAATATATCGTAAGAAAAAAAAAACCAAAGTAAATATTAAAGGAGAAGGATGCAAAGGGTCTGAGAGGAGACTGGAGAGACTTCACTGTTTAAGAGCACTCTTGCAGAGGACCTCAGTTCCCAGCACCCGCATTCGGTGGGTTACAGTCATCTGTAACTAGGTCTCCACACACACACACACACACACACACACACACACACACACACACACACACTTAAAAGTAATAAAAATAAATCTCTTGCTGTGACAAAACACCACAACCAAAAGCAACTTGGAGAAGAAAGGGTTTATTTCAGCTTACAGTTCCACATCACAGTTCATCACTGAGGGACCTCAGGACAGGAACTCAAGTAGGACAGGAATTTGGAGACAGGAACTGACACAGAGGCCATGGAGGGGTGTTGCTTACTGGCTTCCTCCTCCTGGCTTGCTCAAGCTGCTTCTTATAGATCCCAGGACCACCAGCCCAGGGATGGCCCTACCAACAATCACAAATTAACAAAATGTACCACAGTCTTATGTATAGATAGACCAATCTCGTGGGCACATTTTCTTAACTGATTCCCTCTTCCCAAATGGCTCTAGCTTGTATCAAGTTGACATAAAGCCTAGCCATTAATAATAATCTAATAATAAGTGTCACATGACTCAGTATCAGTTAGGCACATTTCAGAAGAAGGAATATCACCAGGATAGGATAAGAGTCCTTCCATGACAATAGCAGGGCAATGGTTCATGGCAGACCTAAATGTTTATGCTCCCAGTAATAAATCTTCAGAGCATACAAAACAAAAAAGTGGTAGAACATCAGTAAGAAATAAACAAATTCACACTTAAAGTCAGAGACTTCGGTGTTCCACACTTATAGTCAGAGACTTCGGTGTTCCCACTCAACAGATCAAACAAATAGGGAGAAAATCAGCAAGCATAGCTTAGACTTAAACAATACTATCAGCCACCCTGACTTTAATTAACACTTAACATCCAGCAGCAATGGAATATACATTCTTTACAAGCAACAAATTTACCAGTACTGGCCATATGATGAGCTGTGAAGCTAACCAAAAAATTCAAACAGCACAGAGCCACACTGCATTCTCGGACAATAGTAAGTTAAATTAAATCCATAGGACCAGCGAGATGGCTCAGTGGGTGGATGCTCTTGCTGTACAAGCCTAGTAACCTAAGTTCAATTCCTGGAGCCCATGTAGATAAAGAAGAAGGAAACTAAGTTCATATAGTTGTCTTCTGACCCCCATATGTGTGCCATGGGACGTGTACCCACCCACCCCTACACACCACACTAATCATTACCAGTGTTTTCAGTTAGCAGCTATACATGGGAGGACCTGAAATCCTGTACGCTACTGGTAAGACTGAGAAATTATATAAAGACCTTGAAAATCAGTGTGACCCTTTCTTAAAGTGTTAGAGATACCTACCATGTGTCCTAGCCATTCTTCTCTCGATGGTTGAGATATGAACAGTAGCCCCTAAAGGCTAATAAGCTGATGGCTTAGCTGGTGGTGGTCTACAGAGGAGACTGGATCATTAGCGGGATAATTCACCAATGGGTTTAGAATTGGAGGAAAAAGGTCGCCCAAAGTCTCCCCTTTTCTGCCCCCGCCCTTTCTCTCTTTTCTAGCGGCCACAAGGTGAGTGACTTTGCTTGAACACGTTTCGCCTTCTCTCAGGCCCAAAAGTGTGGGGCCAAAGGACCGAATACACGTGGAGAGACACCCCTGAAATAACAAGCCAAAGCACCCCTGAAATAACAAGCCAAAGCAAATTCTTCTGTTCCTTGGTTGTCTTTCTTAGGTATTTCCTCTTAGCAACGGAAGACTAATTAACACACATACCCAGGTTCTTACTCAAGAGAAATGAAATGCTCACGCCACAACTAGTACAAGAATTTTCACAGCAGCCTTGTCTGTCATAGCCAGAACCTAGAAACAACCAAATATCTATCAACAGGTTCATGGGTAAACTGTGGTGCACCCACGAAATACTATTCAAAAAGCAATTCTTGATACATGCAATAATATAGGGGAGTCTGAAAATAATGCTTTCTTTAATATGTATATAGTACATATGTATGTATATGTAAAGTACGTTTGTAGGATCCCATGCACTAATCTAAATCTAGAAAGTGGAAACTAATTTATGGGGCAGAACAGGCTAATGGCTTTTGAGTGAGGTAGGCGTGGAAGGAATGGGGTTGGCAGACAATGCAGCAAGCTTAGGGATGACATTTACTGCTGTGGTTGTCATGAATGTGTAAATGTGGCAAAACTATGCTGCACACTTTAAACTTGTCACAGTTTGTTTGCTTTATGATGTTGCAATTTTATGGATACTTACTACATAGCCAAGGCTGGCCTACAAGCCTGTGCTGACACACCTAGCTCATAATGACTTGCTTTTTAAATACATTTCTGTTTTTCAAAAAAAAAGTATACAGTTGGGAAGAAAACAATGGAGGTCTCTGTTGGTAGAGATGACAGTGGTGGTGGTGGTGACTGCAATGATCTCCCAGGACAAGTGCACTTTCCCTTTCCACCCGGAGAAAGCCTTGGTGCAACAGGGACCAGTTGTCTATGATTCTGGATTCTCAGAAAGATTGTGCTAGGCAACAGTGGCACAGGCTTGTCATCCCAGCACTCAGAAGGTGGGTGCAGGATGATTGAAAGTTCAAACCCAGCATAGGCTACATCACAAGACTCTGGCTAAAATGGAAAGCTGGGATATAGTGCAGTGAAAAAGAACTTGCCTAGTGTGCTTCAGGGCCAGAGTTCGATTCTCAGTGCTAAACAGACAGGCAGGCAGATGGTAGGTAGGTAGGTAGGTAGATAGATAGATAGATAGATAGATAGATAGATAGATAGATAGATAGATAATGATGATAGCAGATAGGTAAAGATGATAGACAGACAGACAGATGATAGATGTGTTTTCAGCCTAGCTCTTGCCAAACCTCACCACAGAGAGCCTGGATGGACTCCCTGATACTACAGCATGCTGGCCTACACCCCTCATGTGACAGGCTCTTTTCAAATCTCATTTCCTCCTCACTTCAGAAGGACAAGAAGGACTTTTGTACTTAGTTCCCAAATGGACCACACTGGTAGAAAGTGATGGTCTGGACCATGGATGGGTTTGTGTGTCTCCAAGCTGGCACCCGAGCAAGGCCCTACATGCTTCCTTCTCTCCCAGCCGAGGCTCTCCTCACCACCAAACTGAATGGAGCATACTACAGGCTTGAATCCCTCCCACAGAATGCATGCACTGAAAACCCACCAGGTAAGAGACACGATTTAAAGAGTGATTAGGTCTGCAGGGCTCTGCCCTCATGCATGTAAGTCCTTATTGCCACAGTGGACCCCCTTCCATGCTCTCCAGACGTGTGATACATACAGTGACAAAGCAAGAACTCCCTCACCAGATGCACGCCTTCTGTCTGACTTCTCAGCCTTTGGAACCACGAGCTAAGTAGACTTCTGTTGTTTATAAATTACCAGGATGTGGTGTTCTGTTACAGTCGCACAAAGACAAGACACAGCCCTCACTTCTGGAAATCTCTGTCCCTGCCCATGGAATCTCCCTGCTGGTTAGTCATGAAAAGTCCGTGAAGGGCCAGGACCACTTGCATAGCAAGCAGCGAGGCCAACTTTGGCCACATCTCCTAAGCCGTCTCAGGATCTGGCTCAGCTGCTGCACCACTTGCCTGTAAAAGGTGGAGAAATTGAGACCATCTGCTGCCACCTGGATTTGCCTGGACACCGCCTGGGACACCTTGCTCCGGACGTCACACATCATCCTAAGAGGAATCTCGCTGCACAGTGACATCTAAAGGTTTGTGGGCCCACCTCAGACCAGCTGTGGGCAGAGAGTAAGAAGGCCAGGGCAGACCCCGAGCTCTGGTGTGGTCCGGGAAGGAGTTACAGGGAGAACTCAGCTTCCCCGGGCATGTGACGGGGTTATCAGTCTGCTGGGCCCAAACCTGGCTCTCCCTTCACTGCTGGCCCATACTACACTCAGCTTTGCCTGGCTCCAGAAAGCCCAAACCCTTGTCCCGAGTTAGTAAGGCACAGGGAAAGTTCTCTAACTCCAAGCCACATCTTTAAAACAAGCGGGGGTGGGGGAGAGACAGAGGGTGAGGTTAGTACCCCTAGATGAAGCACTGAGTGCCAGGATCCAGGACAGTCAGTTCTGTTTGACAGACAGGGGGAAGTTGGGTTAAAGTAGAGGGCACAGCCAGTTCCCCAGGCAAGTAGACAGCAGAGCCAGAGGCCTGCGTTCTCATTGTCCCTTGATAAGCAGTTGTCCAAAGCAGTGGAGCATGAGGTGAAATCCTTTCCCTCACCGGACCTGTTCCAGTCCTGGGAGTGACATAATCCAGCCCACTCCCGTCTTGGCCACTGGTCTGGGGATCTGCTGAAACTGATGTTTTTGGGGGTGCTAAACTTACTGTCTGCCTGGAGATGGACAGGGAGGTGGGTGGATCAGAGCTGATGGGCTCTAGGCACATGGGTCCAGTGTAGACTCCCCACCCCCAGGCTTTACCAGGGCCCTCAGGCTGCCCTCTGTTACCGGGTCTCTCCATTGTCACCAGACCTTAAGTCTTGACTCTACACAGAGACCTTAGGCCACTGATTTCCCCACCCAGAGCTTCTCTGAGTCCCTTTCCCCACATGCTCTGTACGCCTACTGGTTGAGCTAAAAACTCTAGTCTCCTAAATGGGGCAGTGAGGGTGACCAGGCACTAGGCTTCTAGTTGGGAACCCACCTTGAGAGATTTAGGGGAGGAAGACGTAACTCCCCATAGAGATCCCTTAGGTCTGTTGTGCTGTACTCTCCCTCCACCCCTAACATGCTGTGTGTGACCCCAGAGCTAGAGGAAACACCATATCTCATCTCTAGCCAGCCAGATCTCCTCACCCTGTACAGGAAGTCTGGGGACCAGAGCTGGGGAGAGTGGGCAGTGCTGTGCCCTGTTGGGGACAAGCACAGACTCAGCCCCCTCAGATCCACCGTGGCTTTGCCTTTGGTGTGTGAAGCCTTTTCCCCAGCCCAGCGCACACTGAAGGGCCCCCGACTGCACTTGGTGAGGGGCCCCATACAAAGCTCGGCCTGTCTGTGACTCCCAACCTGCTCCCCTGAACCCCCAGATGTATAAAGCTCAAATGCTGCCCAGATGTCATGTCTCCTCTCACGGCCAAGTCCATACCATTGAATCTATGACCCCCTACACCTCGGTCTCCATTGAGCCTTGTCAGTGAGCACTAACAGGCCATCAGCATAGCTCTGGTTGGCTCTGGTCCACCCATTCTTGGCAGGTGAGGTTTCCCTACCTCTGCAGCAAGCCTAAGCTCAGTGAGTCTGAAGTCCGTAGAACAGAAAGCCTGAGGTGAGGGCCACCATGCTTTCCTGGAAGGTCTGGGCTGTGGGGCCCCTCCTTGCTGGGTGAGGTGGAGCCCCTAGCCTGGGCTGGCTGACCTGTCTTCCATGAAACCCTTCTCCCGCCCGCTTCATCCCAAGTTGAGCATTTGCGCTGACTCTCTGTGGGACATTGTGGGTCCTCGATACCTCGTTCTTAAAAGACCCCAGTCAGTAGCAATGGACCAGACCAGTACTTAGTCACCTAGCACAACAACCCTGAGGCTCTGGTCCTGGCTCGGTGGCTGCAGAGCCCCAGGTGGAGACAGCAGCGGTGGCCTCAGCCACGCCACCCCCGGGCTCGAGGTCCAGACCCTCATAGATGGTGGGGAGGGAAGTGTGCTGACTCAGGCGCCTTCGCAGGCCAACCAGCAGGGGCTGGGGAAGCGAGGCCACGTCCACATTGTTACCCAGGTCCACCCAGGCCAACACCGGGAATTTGGTGGTGTCCTTGATAGCCTCAGTGAGCTCACGGGCAGCAGCTCGCGTAAGTCGGTTGCCATTGAGCAGCAGCTGGGTGAGGCGGGGCAGAGCCCAAAGGCTGGGCAGCAGCAGGTGCAGCAGCTCATCGCTCAGCCCCGTGAAGCTCAGGTCTAGGACCACCAGCTCAACGCCGTGGCTGCCCAGGTAGCGTGTTATGTGTTGCACATCTCGGGCGGATAGCGGGATGCCAGAAAGGTCCACAGTCTCCCCTACCAGCAGAGTCTTCTGGAGGCTGCTCTTGAGGCTACGGGAGAATGCAGGCGGGTGCACTGAACCAGAGCCCAGGTCCAGGCCTGGGCCGGACACCACCCGCCGCAGACAGTTACCCACCAAGGGCAACCTAGGTCCCCTGGCCTGGCAAAGTCTGCTTTAAAATGCCACTTCTGGGACTGGAGAGATAGCTTAGCCATCAAGAGTACTTGCTGCTCTTTCAGAGGACTCAAGTTCATTCCTAGAATCCACATGCTGACTAACAACTGACTGTGTCTGCAGTGCCAAGTAATCCAACACCCTCTAGTCTTTTCAGGCTCCAAGCACATGCACAATGTGCATGCATGCATGCAGGGAAAACACTCATACACTTAAAAACTACAAATAAGGAAATCACTTTTAAGCCATTTTTTAAGTTGGTGGCCAAAAGCAATTCTGCAGATCTCTCTGAGCACAGATTCCCCTCTGGTGAATGGGGGCAGGACTGTAGTGAGGATTACACAGACGATGAAGGATCTATTGGTGGACTATTATCATGGTGCTCTGTGCACCTGTTAATACTATTTATCTTCACGTTAGCCCAAGGGTGTATATAGGTGAGAGCCCATTCTACGAAGGAACTAAGAGAAGTGACAAAGGTCCTTTGGCTGTACATCACTAAGTGAGGACCAGGGCCCTACATCACAGTGCCCTGACCCCGGAGCCTATACTCTTTTCCCTGTGGCCCTCTATAAGCAGCATCCTTTAAGATAATGAAAAATTTTGCCATGAGTGGATATGGTGTCATTCTGGTCCTCTCAGTGCTTGGGGTCTAGAGATGGGCCAGGCCCAGGATAGCCAAGAGTGGGAAGTAGACAATGAGGCTAACGGATTGCTAGGGGAGGCCTCCCTGTGTTAAACCGAAAGAGGCACTAGAGACTGGGGGTGCCCTCCAGGGCCCCTGGCACACTTTATCCACGGCCCTCTAGGAGGACAGGACCGCTTTGGGTAAGAGCAGTGAGAACACTGCCAGGGCCCCATCTGCTGTGTCAAGAAGCAGTCTCAAGGGTTCTGGGTTCACCTTGGGTCACAAGGTATAAGAACGGAACAGGTCGACCCCCAGCTGTGGTTCTAGGCCTTTGCTTCTGGGCTGAGACTGTGCCATGGGGTCCCCAAAACAGGCAACCACAAGCAGAGCAAGCTGTCAAGAGGCTGCGGAAGTCTCTGCATCAGGACGCCTGGAGCTGATAGGTCCCCAAAGGCTGCAGGGTGATCAGGGAAGGGGCGACCTTAGGCAAGCTACTTTCCCCATCCTTACTCAGCCTTCCTCCCTGTGAAATGGGAGACTCAGAATCTGTCCTTATGAGGATTTTACCTGATATACCCAAGGAGACACAGGTACTGGAAAGGGACAGGGATGGAGGGTCCAGGGGCTGGCAAGAGGGTGTCACTGTCCTGGAAGAAATGGGAAGCAGCTCACATGGAACACGCAGCTTGGTTTAGGGGTATTGCTGCTGTGGGCCAGGGTGGTTGCCAGGGCTGGAGCCTTAATGTAGACGAAGTAAGAGAGCAACAGAGAGAGGTCTTTGTGCACTTAGCTCTCAGAGAAGGGACCCTGAAAGAGGGCGCAGCGGATGTGTGGCTGGGCTCTCCTTACCTGTTCTGGGTTTTCCGGTGGGGCTTTCGCTTGGAGTGAGGAGTCAGGTGGTAGATGAGCTGCCGACAGATCTTATCAGAGGACTTCCAGGGCTCGTGGTCCTAAGGTGGCGGGGAGGGGGGAAGGACGGGGAGGCGGGGGAATGTCATGGTGAGGATGAGCCTGAGCCCCTTCCATTCTGCCCCGGCTGTAGCCTGGCTCACTGCCAAGAGAGACTGCTGCGGGGAGCTGGACAGGCTCGCCTGAGTGAGGCCCGCAGTGCCCGGTGGGAGGAAGCCCAGACAATGAGCCCTTGTTCCCTGTCCTCAGGCCTAAGGCCAGCAGCTCAAGCTATCAGCCAGCAGCTTGCCACCCTCAACACCCCCAAGGGACTTGCCACAAGGAAGAGGCCACACCAGGCCCCTTGAGGGAGCCCTATTCCAGAGACGCCAGTCCCAGAGAATAGGAACGAGCCAGGTCAGCATGTTATATTCCTCTCATTCTCCAAGCTATGCTGCGCCTGTGGGGCCTGTGGGGCCTGAGGGGCCTGTGGGGCCTGGGTCTGGGCTGACAGGGCCGGGCTCGCTCGCTCCATGTTTTACTGCACCACACGGTTCTCTCTTGGTCCTAATTGTATCCCCAAAGAGGCCCAGCTTGGGGGCACACAAAGTACTTTCCACACAGCTGGCACTGAGCACATTCCATATGCGGAACAGTCCTTTGAAGCAGCCCCCAGAGCTTGCAACACACACACACACACACACACCACACAACACACACACACACACACACACACACCACACAACACACACACACACCACACAACACACACACATGCACACACACACACCACACAACACACACGCACACACACACACACACCACACAACACACACACACACCACACAACACACACACATACACACACGCACGCACACACACGCACGCACACACACATGCACACACACACACACACACTGCCGATTAGGTAGCTACTGGGATGACTGTGGATTAACCGGCTGAATACTGACGTGGGTCCAGAGCTGACAGTAGACCCCTTATTTCATATCCATTGTGTTGAAGATTCTTGGGGCCCCATGGCTGTCCACAGATCTGTAGGCCAGTGCTGTGCCCATGTTCACAGTAGGACATCAGCAGGTGTTGTCAGAGCAGGGTCCAAGGAGGTAGAGGCTGTAGGCAGCAGGATCCAACTTAGCATGGCATAGGACTTGTGACCCAAGGGGCAATGGAAGGGATTGTGAACCCCCATCCCCGAAGGTGTCCAATTAGGACACAGCAGCTCCCTTCTGACCCAGGAACAAGAATACATGGTTCTGACAGTGGATGTGTCAAGACAGACTGTGTTCTGGGTCCTTATAGGTCTTCTCAGGTGGGGTTCTACCTAGGAGCATGGTTTGGGGGCTCAGCAAAACAGTTCACACCTGCTCCTGAAGCTGTTCTTGAAAACCGGTAGTGGCTAGCCTAAGGCCTAAGCAAGCATGAGAAGCTAAGTTCCCCGGGCCTATGCCTGCTGACCTCACCTTCTTGGGGCACTGCAGGTCCCGGGCCAGGTTCACCAGCAAGTCATGGGAGATGGGGTCCACCAGGTTAAGCAAAGCCACGTTCCTGTAGAGGATGTCAGTGAGGAGGTTCCCTTCAAGGCCCAGGTCCTATGGGTGGTGAAGAGATGGTTGGGTAAGCTGGGGGAAGGGGTCAGGGCTTTCCTCCTTCCATCCAGGCAGAAGATACATGCTTTACTGGTTTACACGCTTCTAACACCCTCTACCCACACCCCTGGCTTGCTGGAATCTCTCAACATATGGTAGCAGCCAAGTGTCTAGAGAGAGAGAGCACAGTACAGCCTCAGTGTGTGTGTGTGTGTATGTGTGTGTGTGTGTGTATGTGTGTGTGTGTGCCTATGTATGTGTATGCCTGTGTGTATGTATGTATATGCCTCTGTGTGTGTATATGTCTGTGTGTGTATGTATGCCTGTGTGTGTGTATGTATGTATGTATGTATGTATGTATGTATGTATATGCCTCTGTGTGTGTATGCCCGTGTGTGTATGTATGTATATGCCTGTGTGTGTGTATGTCTGTGTGTGTGTGTATGCCTCTGTGTGTGTATGTCTGTGTGTGTATGTATGTATGTATCTATGTGTATATGTATGTGTATGCCTCTGTGTGTGTATGCCTGTGTGTGTATTTATGTATGTGTGTATGTATGTGTATGCCTCTGTGTGTGTATGCCTGTGTGTGTATTTATGTATGTGTGTATGTATGTGTATGCCTCTGTGTGTGTATGCCTGTGTGTGTATTTATGTATGTGTGTATGTATGTGTATGCCTCTGTGTGTGTATGCCTGTGTGTGTATGTGTGTATGTATGTGTATGCTTCTGTGTGTGTATGCCTGTGTGTGTGTATGCCTCTGTGTGTGTGTGATACCGGGTTACTCATGCTAGTTGTTGGGTGTATAATGTCTTGCTGCGATACCTTACTCGTCTAATAGTCTTGACTCTGATGTCCCTAGTACTCCCTTTGGGCCCTTTCTTCCCCCCACCCCCGAGGTCACTTGACTTGTTCTGCCACCTTTTTTTCTCTGGGAGCGAGCCTCTTCCCCAGATCATGTTCCCCAAGGCAGTGCAAACTCAGCCTGCTCACTTGCTGACTTTGTGTCCCTTTCCAGGGTGCAGTAGGGGTCCTACGATGTTCCCTCTGTAGGACTCACTTAGCACCCTTCCCCTCTGTCTCCTGCTTGCCAGGTGGGGCTGCTGCCGCCAAGGTTCAGACCTCCTACCCAGTCACCTTAGCTCAGGGTTCCCAGCCTTCCATGTTCATCCCTGGGCTACCGGGGCCACTCTACAAAACACACATGACCTTTACCCTTCATTCCATTGGTGGAGACTAAACACTAGAAGCTGTGCCACCGGAGACTTACAGAAAGTGCAGCGTCATGACTCCGTTGGACTTGGCCATCCCCCCTTCCCAGCCTACCAGCCTTCTTCTCTTTAGCCAGACCTCAGGGTGGGGGGCCTGGCCCTTCATCCATCAGCCTTTTCCAATCTACACCTATAGGCCGGATGTAAGGCTGAGCATCTTAATTTATTTTTATTTTTCAAAACAGAGCCTCACTGTGTAACCCCAATTGGCTTGGAACTTGCTGAGGCTGGCTTGGAACTCAGAGATCTTCTGCCTCAGCCTCCTGTATACTGAGATTGATGGCGTGAACACAATGGGTTTTTTTGGAAAATACAAAGGCAGCCTACAAGCACCCAGCCTCCATGTGCCATTTTCTCACCCCTTAGCCAGAGAAGGATATGCCCTGAGCTGTCCTGAGCGCACAGGAAGTCAGGCTAGGCAGCAGGAATGCAATGGGTTACAGTCACAGACTTCCTGTAGCTTATGGGGCAGGATGGGTCCTGGATATGCATCGAATCTCAACTTCTAGGAAATGAGGAGGGGGCTTAACTGGTCTCTGAGGTTGGTCCCCTCCCAGATGCTTCCAGGGAAAATGCAAGCCAGTGCCTTGGGCTCCACCATTCCAAACAGCGATCTGTATTTCTAGGCAGTATGCCTGGCTGGGTGCTGCTTGGCAGTTGCTCTCCTGTTTGTATTTTCAATATGGTTCAAGCCACAGATGCCAGCAAAGGGGGAGGATCCAGAGGGAAGGAGGCTGGTGAGTCTGGGCAGACCTAGACGAGCCCCAGGCAGCAAATTACCTTCCACTGGCCTGGTCAGTGCCTCTTAAAGTGACAGGTCCACTTTTCCAGACTGCTGAGTCTACAGGGAGGGCACCCAGTGGTGGGGGAAGAGCAGGGTAGGAAGTGTCTGACCCTGGGTGGTCTCTGAGATTCTCCCCAACCTCCCTCCCTCCCTCCCTCCCTCCCTCCCTCCCTCCCTCCCTCCCTGCCTCCCTCATTATAAGTTGGTCCTGAACTTGCTATGTAGCTGAGGATGACCTTGAACTCCTGATCTCCTGCCTCCATCTCCCAAGTGCTGGGAATACAGGCGTGTACCACCATGCCAGGTCTTTCTTTCTCTTCCTTTCTTCCTTTCTTCCTTCCTCCCCCCTCCCCCCCCCATGCTAGGATACATAGCGCTCGGGCTTCTCAAATGTTCTAACAATGACCGACATCCCTAGACCCCTCCTCTCGGTTTTCTGTCTGGGTCCTGGCTCATCACTTCTCTGTCTCTCCATCTCTAAGCATCTACCTTCTACCTTCATGGTGGGGGCAGCAGCTACTGCAGGGGGGCGGTGAGGAGGCTGAATGGGAAGTGATTTCCCCAGGGGTAGGGCTGGGACAGGCATCCCTGTCTCCTAGGGCAACTCAAGGCTCAGGATCTCTGGCTAGGGTACCAAAAGTGTCTCCCAAGGGCCCAGGTGCGGCACTGTCATGTACTAATGTGATTGTGCGTTCTCAGTGGGTTCAAGCTGCCTGTTAGAATGGCTGGTGCGTGCACTGTGGCTTTGTCTGGGCTGTCATGATGTCTGTCTCCAGGCGCACCCGCAGGCCATCTGAGCCGTGCCTCCCAGAGCCCTTTCTCCCGGATCTGGTGCTTTCTTTCTTCCTGCAGGATGGGGAGCTGCGCTCTTCCCATTGTCCTTCCGCATGAGATGCCCCTACCCTCACCCACTCCAACTCTTGAGAAGGTCCAAATGCGGGCTCTTAGCTCCAGACTGGTGGAGGTCCCTCCCTGGCAAATCCCAGTGCCCCAACACGCCAGCCCCATCTTTGGCAAGCAATCCCCCAGCCCCACCTGGCCCTCACTTTAACCCGCGCCCTCCCTTCACGCACGAACCTCAACGTCTGCAAAACCCACCGTGAGCGCTAGGAATCCACCCATCCCGAAGCCCGCAGCCCCGGCTCCTCCCTGACCCCCCCAATCCCGGACCGGCCCGCTCCTTCTCTCGCCTGGCGCAGGAGGCGCAGCAGCTGCCGAGCGCGCTCCGGCCGCCGCTCGCGGAGCGTGGACTGGATCTCTCGCAGCCAGCGCACCCGGCGCTCGTAGGGCGCGGGCCCAGCTCCCGCCGCCGCAGGGGCATCTGAACCGGCCGCTGCCCTTGCCCGTCGCCCCAGCCGCGCCCCCATGGCCGCCGCGGGCGGGCGGGCGGGAGGGCTCCGAGACGGTGGAACGGAGGCGGGCTATCTGCGGCCGCGCCCCGCCCGGGATGCGCGGGGTGGGCAGCGCTGGGTCTACGGCTGCGCGCCCAGGCACTGGTCGCCAGCGTGGAGCCCAGGATCACTCCTCTTTGGCAGAGGTTTCCCTGTCGAGGGCCCCGCCCGCGAAGGACCTGGCGTTGGAGCTCTTTTCCCCGAGGCGGCCAGGGGAGATGCCGAGGACGAGGTGGCATTTGGCACCTCTCAATCATGTGGCCCCAGTGCTGACTGACTGGGCGGGGGCATAGTCGTCCACTGGACAAAAAATGCTTAAGGTGGCTGAAGGTGCTTTCGGCTGTGTCAACGCCCCCACTTTGGGGAATCCCCCCCTGCGAGCAAGTGTATCTGTCTTGTCCACTCTGTGTGGCTGTTACTGGTCTTGGCAAATCTCAAATAGACACTTCCTGCTGTGAGGGGGACAGAGACAGGCCTGGGCAGGCTGAGTATACCCGATCTCCTCTAACCCCCATGCCTGAGAGATGAACAGATTAAGCCCAGCTCTAGAAAACCTGGTACCAGGCTCTGCATACGCTCCTGGTCCAGCTTTTCCTGCCTAACAAAAGGGGATGGTCGCGCCTGCAGGGGGTCTCCGGCTCCTCCGAAGACCAAATTTGAACTCAGATCATCTAGCTCTAGAGGGGTTTCCTCCGCAGACCCTACTGGAAGCCCGTTGCCTGCTGCAGCCCTACCTGGTCCCAGTTCTGAGCTTCTCTCATTACGTAGGAGGGGGCCCTCTAGCCTCCCACCCCCACCTCTAGTTAAGGAACGTATCCAGCCTGAGTCTGGAATGCCGGGCTGGGCAAGTGTGCAAGCCTAGTGGAAGCATGTGCGGGGAGACCTATTTCAGGGCATTTAGGAAGGGATGTCTGCCAGGATCCTTCTCTGGGTCAGGCATTGCTTGACCAGAATGGAGGTGGAGGCGGAGACTGGTCCTCTGGGACTGAGACCCTCCAGACAAGGCAGAAGTCAGCAGAATGGGTAGTGACTTGACTACTCCCAGATACCCCCTAACCACTTTTACCCTATTCCTAGGCTTCCATTTTCCTCAGCAGCCTCCCGTCCCCTCCTCTGCAGCAGTATTGTCCTAGGGCCACCTTGGCACGACAGGTTTCCTCCCTGGCAAACCTGCCTGACTACCCAGCCTGCCCTCCCCTAGGGCCAAGGCCGTTGCTGAATTGACAGTGTGTGAAAGCCAGAGCTTTGCCCAGCAGTCCAAGTGTCCCAGGGACTTCTCAGACCCCTTGCCCAGAGCTGGAGGCCAGGTAAGCGCTCTCCCTCTCTCTTCCTCCCTGCATCCTCAGGGCTGGAAAAGGACCTGGATGCCTCCCAGATGCCTCCCAGATCCTGACCATGTCGTTTTCCCCGAGGCTAAGCCAGGCCTAAGTATCCTACCTTGGAGCATGAGAAGATGAAGGTAGGAACCAAGGGGGAGGAGAAAGGATCGAGGAGTACAGAGCACCACGTTGGAAAGGAACAAGCTGGCCAGTGGCTCAGTCCTGCGGCAGGTAGAGAACTGCTCCCGCCCCTCCTCTATAATCCTCACTAGCCCAGGGATTCCTAAAGGCCTTTTTCCAGGAAAAGAGAAAGTTTGGTATCTGGCCCCAGATCCCTGGGTGAGCTTTCCTTAGCCTGCTGTCGAGGTGCCTAGGTGAACTGGCTCTTGGGCACGGTTTCCCGCTCAACCTGACGTAGACAAGAGCCCCCATAGAGCTGTCTCCTCAGGAGTGGGCATATCACCTCACCACTCTCTATGTATACTGAACTGGAAAGGCTGCCATCCTTCTCCCTGGTTGAGGCAGACGCTAATGCTGCCAACTCCATCTTCAGGAATGATGTAGGGCTTAGGGGTCTGACCTGGGTACTTCAGGACAGACTCGTCACCCTTACAAAGCCCACGGGGCTATAAAAATGTCAGTCTCCAGGCCTTGATGAGGACATATGAGGCCCCAAGTGGGAACTGCCTGAAGTATTGGCAACAGTTGCATCTTGGTTCTTCTAAACCCTTAACTGCCCATGTGGTAACCCACCGGGAGTGGACAGGAACCCAAGGTCTGAGTGACCCCACAAGTAGTGTGGAGGGCTTCAGAAGGACATGGAACTTAACCAGTCCCCCATCCAGACTCTTTCTCCATCTACCCAATGAGAAATCTCCCCTCTTCCCTCTCACACACACACGTGTGCACACACACAGGCACCAACTCAAAGCTATTATCTCAGCAATAAATCGTGTAATACCGATCTCAGCAAGAAATCACGTGATCCCAACCAAGCTGGGCTTCCTGGGAGCCATGACAATCTTTGTTGTTTGTTTTTTGAGATAGAGTTTCACATAACTTAGGCTGGTCTCAGTTATGCTGGCTGAGGATGGCCTTGAACTCCTGATCTTCCTCTGTCCACCTCCAAAGTGCTGGGATTACGGATTTGAGCCACCATGTCCAGTCACAGAATGGTCTTGAAACCTTCACTGGGAGGAAGAATAGGTCCTCTACGGAGACCGTTCCCCTGAGTTTACTCTATCAGGAGATGAAAAGAGGCAACAGATGGGATTCAGATTCCCCGGCGGCTGTTTGCTGAGGGTGTAGCCTTAGACAACACAGGACAGAATATTACTTTCCTGTGGTTGCTGCAATCAATTGCAGCAAGTTCATTAGCTTAAAGCAGCCAAGCTCTGGTGTTGGAAGCCTGGAACCCGAATGTTAGCAGAGCCATGCTCCCTCGAAGAGTATGGGACCAGATCCTTCTTTGCCTCCCCTCCTTCCGAGCTCTTTCTCCAGCAGTCCTTGGGGCTGTTTGGCTTGAACTTGTCACTCCAATTTCAGCTTCTGTCTTCACATGGCTGCCTTCCCTGTGCAGCTGCTCAAATGGCCATCTTGTAAGACCACTAATTACTGCATTTAGGGCCTACCCTAATGCAGTATGATCTCATCTTAACACAATTACCTTGTGAAGACTCTATTTCTAAATAAGGTCATACTTTGAGCTCCCTCGAAGTGGGCATGAGGTTGGTGGTAGGGAAAAACAACAAGCTGCAGAAACCTCGGCAAACCTCAGTTTCCTTGTCTGTAAAATGACAAAGGCATTGTAGGGTTGGAGACGTGAATAAAGGGGCTGATGTGGCATAATTAATCTTCTGTGGCATTTCTTCTTCTTCTTCTTCTTCTTCTTCTTCTTCTTCTTCTTCTTCTTCTTCTTCTTCTTCTTCTTCTTCTTCTTCTTCTTCTCCTTCCCCTTCCTCTTCCCCTTCCCCTCCTCCTCCTCTTTCTCCTCCTCCTTCTCCTACTTCTTCTCCTCCTCCTCCTCCTTCTCCTACTTCTTCTTCTTCTTCTTCTCCTCCTCCTCTTTCTCCTCCTCCTCCTCCTTCTCCTTCTCCTCCTCCTTCTCCTTCTCCTTCTCCTTCTCCTACTTCTCCTCCTCCTCCTCCTCTTTCTCCTTCTCCTCCTCCTCCTCCTCCTCTTTCTCCTTCTCCTCCTCCTCCTCCTCCTCCTCCTCCTCTTTCTCCTTCTCCTTCTTCTTCCGTGCCGATGGTTGAACCATTGAACCCAGGGTTCTTTGCATGCTTGGCAACCACTCCGCCTTTGAGTAACACCTCGCTCCTCGTTGCGGCTTTACAGTGAACCCACCCCACCTGCCCACCCCTCAGCCAGCACCGATCCACTCAGGAACAATTACTGGGTGCTGTGAATGCCGCCCAGACTATGTACGGCAGAGGAAGTAGGAGTGACAGCTTACCCACAGAGTTCGGTGCAAATAAAGGTTAAAGAAGGTGGTGTTGAAATAGGGGGTTTGAGGAAGACTGGGCCAAGGTGGTAGCCTGTAAAATGTCCTGGCAGGAGCATTGAGTGCAGAGAGAAGGCAGGGCAGGCACCAGCAAGGCAAGAATTTCTCTGCAGGGCAAAGGGAAAGGGGGCCTTTGAAGGGCTTTCCAGTGGGAGAGGAAAGTGTTCCAATTTACATGTTGAACAACACTGGAGTCCCATTAGAGAAACAGCCACATTACAGCCTATGGCTGGGCGTCACCAGGTGATAGGAGTGGCCCGTAGGGGCTGGTGGGGGAGGGTGTTAGGTGTGGCTTGGAGGAGGTCACAGATAGCACCAATTGGAAGGGACCAGTGGAGGCCTCTGAGGGGCTGGACTCTGGCTTTTGTGGCTGGTAAAAGTGTGAGGAGGGCAGTTGCCTGCTCAGGTTTGGGCATGTTGACCTTGGGCATCTGACACAGCCAGTGGCTCAGACTTGGCATCCGTGTGAATAATGCAGTAGTTCAGCATCCAAGAGGTAAGAGAGGCAGAGGAACCGCTGCAAAAGAAGGGAACTCTAGGAGCCTGGGGAAGCTGGGCATGGTGTGTATGGAAAGTGTTGGGTGGTCTGCGTACCAGTAAAGTCACAGGGGATGGGCGGGTGAACAGGAGTGCTTGGCTTGTGGTCCAGGAGACTGTGAGACAGAACTAAGTTTGGCTTTCCTGCAGACTATGGCATGTGATGGGGGGACCAGGATGTGGAGAGGGCAGGACTTCTCTCCCAGCTCCCTGGAGATCCCAGACACCACAGAAGATTACCAGGTGACATAATAAATGCCACCTGAGCAGGGAGGATAGGACAAACAGGAAGGGGACACTTGGTGTCTTTCCTCTGGATTGCTCATCGGGCAGAACAGACATGACTTCAGCTCTGAGTGCCAGAGGCAGGCTAACACTGAGGCTCCTAGGTCTCCTGAAGTCCGTCTCATTGACTCTTCTAGTTCCCTAGCCTCTCTGGAGAGGAAACTGAGGCCAGAAACGGAAAGGCTTCCCGGGACCCCATATCAGCTCTCGGTGAGGTCAGGTTTGAAATGGGTCCTGTGTCTCTGTAATTCTACCCTTAGGTTTTGGAGCTGGACTTGACCCGCCAAACGCCAGACTGTCCCTGATTGATGCTCAGGGTTAACAGGCTGACAAC